AAAATACATTGGTTTTAAAATTTTAAATGTATTTGGTTTGCTAACTGATCAGTGCTAATATCTAAATACCTAGTTACTTAATACTCAAAATACCTAGTACGTACCTATACACATATAGTTTAGGTATTGATAATGAATTATGTGAATGAAAATAATTTTCCAGTAATATATAAAAGTAAATATAAAAATCTATGAAACAAAATATATCAAAATATATTGCCTCATTATACTAGAAAATATGTAAAATACATTGTATGTAGGTATTGCATTTGTAAAATTGATTGGTTTTTTATTTAATATTTGAAATTGGAATAAATTGAATCGAAATTTTGATTCCAAATTTTGAACTTAACATTTCTATATACGGTAGGTACTACATTTTCTATATCAATCTAATTTTGAATTAACTTCAGTCTGCAGATAAGCTTAAGTTGGTTGGCTATTAACTAACCTATTGGCTTTTAATATCTAGTATTTTAGTACCTATACTATTTATACATGTATAAATAGTAAATAGGTACTAAATAGTACCTTAAATAGTATACTAAAATAGGTTATGCATAATGGCATAATATGTAAGTACCTATATGGCTATATATAAATGTGGTTTTAACTTAAAACTTATACTTTATACTTTATAGTCCACTTATATTAGATACTTTATTATTTATTAATAAACTAGCTGTCTAATATTTATTTAGCTCATTTATTAATATTAAAACACACATTTAAATTCCATATATTAATAACATTAGGCACCTACAAGGCAAGTTACCTATTTTAGTACTTACCTACCTATACTATCAGTATTACTTGGTGTTTATCTTTTTAAAGCAAAATAGTCAATAGGTAAGTGTCTTAATTACATAATATTACAATTATTATACTAGCTGATCCCACGCACTTCGTTGCCCGTAAAAAAATACAATTTGCAACCAATAATAAATGAATACTAATGTACCTATAGTATTTATTTCTACTATAACCGATAGCAACCATATATAAACAAAAATTTCCACCGTAAATCTCAAAATCCCCGTTTGAGCACCTCATTTGATAGGTGGTAGGAGGATGAAAAATACTTTATGACCTATTCTCAGACCTACTGAATATACACACAAAATTACATTAGAAATGGTCAAGCCGTTACGGATTAGTGCTACCACTAACATTGTGGCACGAGAATTTGATATGTTAGATATTGTATCATGTGTTAGGTATTTCGAATAATTTAATGTTGTTTAATTTATCTTTTTCTATCAACACAATTATATTTCTATATATAGGATATATACGTATTACGTATAGGTATAATTTAAATACGACTATGACCAGATGACGCCGAATACGCCTGATTTATCGTCATAAGTGGAAGAGGAAAGTTATCATGATTTAGTCATCAGGTCAATTTGACCATTATATTAATTGATATTTGATAATTTCATAAATTTAGTAGGTAGCTAAATATAAACTATATTATAAAATAATATGTTGTAGACGCATCGTTACGATTTACGATATGAAATTAATTACAGTACATGAAAATAACAAAAAAAATTTGAATGTTGAACCTAAAGATGTGATAGATCATAGATTACTATTTATGCGGCTGGGATAATAATTAATATTATAGTATTGTCCATTGGTTAAAATTCGTCCATAACAACTGTTTTAAATTTTAATATAATTATCACACACTCTGTTTGGTATCGGTGTGCGTGCTTCTTATTTTAATCGTATGGACTATGAACGTTTACTTCGTCCTGCACATTTTTTTAATAAATTGTATTTTACTGTATAGATTACTTAACTCGTATGACAGTTTATTACATTATCTGTGACTATCATAATTATTTCCAGCCGAAGGAAAATCTATTTGATTTTTATTGCAAGATTTTTAATTAGTGTTGAAGGAATTTTTGAATGTTTATTTAACAGCTTTATAAAATGTATAATTTATATATAATTGATATATTTTATGTACATAATTGAGTGGGGACAATCCAAAACGTACTATTGGAATTTTTCATTTTTTTTTTTAGTATGGGCTATTTTATTTTGTTTTTTGAAACTGGAAATATATTGATATTAATAAATAATAATGAATAATCAACAAATTCAGTAAACTATTTTAAGATTTTCTTTAGAGTTGAACAATTGTTATAACTTTAATGACGTTAACAAATCTACGATTTTAAAGATGAAGTTAAAACGCACTACCTATTTAGTATTTACAACCAATAGCACAGTTTGAATAAATTAGTCGATATTGTGAGTTATAGAACAAAAAACAAAAAACAAAAAAAAAATGAAGTATGTTTTACTGTTTTAATATACAATAAATTTGTGTTCAAACAGGATGAATTTTAAAACGGTTTTGTAGTCCCCACAATAAAATGTCAAGGAAACTCTCTTACCCTTGTCCACCCACAGACAACGTATCTATCATGGTTAAATTAACACTAAATATACAAAATTTTGTAAAATATTATAAATTAATGTAGTTGCTTATTGCCCTGCTATATGCCCCAAAGTCGTTTCATGTTAGGTATTGCAAATTTGGCTGCATCAGAATTGCATGGCCAAAAAAAAAATGTCCAAATTGCATGCCATCTCTTGGAGCGGTCTGTCCGAATTGCATGCCTTGAACCACATGTTTATTTATTATGCACTTAAACAATTTAAACTTTTTTTGGACTTTCCTAATTTAAAAAAATGCATGTACACAGAAACGCTATTTTATCTATGGTTGTTACAATTGATTAGTTTCTAGATTGAAATGTTTTTATATCCGAGTAAATATTTTCCCAAACTGTATCTATATTGGAGTAATGTAGTGTATTATAGTCTGTTTCACAGACATAGACATGGACATACAAATAGTTTTATTTAATATTTATTATTCACAGTGTCGCCTTCTACAATATTTATATATTTTATTGTAATGTAACAAAATCCCGTTCCTCCAGTGAAAAAGTAAGTTATTTAGTTATTTTATTCGGAAAAACCCCTCCAAGAGACGGGATGCAATTTGTACATTCCAATTTATATTTATTTTTTTGGCATGTAATTCGGATGCACCGGCAAATTTAACTGTAGCAAATCAAAAGTTGACCTATGGGTTTATCGTTGATAAATAATCATTGAAAATATTAAATAGGTACCTACATCTTATATCTTATATATATAAAAATCTCGTGTCATGTCTTTGTCCGGGATAAACTCCGAAACTACTGGACCGATCTTGATGAAATTTTTACAATGTGTGTAATTTGGCCGAACTTAACAGATAGGTTAATTGAAAAAGGGAGAAGACCAACCCCGAGAGGTGTTAAAACGGGAATTTAGAAATTTCTAGATACAGTGGTTCCCAACCTTTTTTATTTTACACACCCCTTGTAAATTTTCAAAAATCTCACTCCCCCTCCTTAAATTAGAATTTAAAAGACTTTTTTTTGTTTTAATGATACGAAATAATTATTTTTTATATAACTAATGAGTAATGACGTATATTTTTTCATCATTCTAAAAATAAAATATAAATCAATTTAATAATATTATTATTTAAATTTTTGAATACAATTTTATACATTTTAATATGAAATATTTCTTATTTGGAGAGAAGCTAGAAAAAGTTTAATGAGAAATTTTTGATTGTTTTTTCCTCACAAAGTAAATAGTCCCTGGGGATATTTTTGACAACGCGCAACGCATATCATTTAATATAATAATGTTGTAAATTTTAATATTACATTACCTGCATAGAGGATAGTCATTATAAAATACTCGTACAATTATTATCAATATGCGACAGTCCAAAACTTAATTTATTGTTTTCAATTTTATAAATAAAATATTTCTTGTTATTTCATCATCACTAAATTCCCCCTAGGGGGGAATTCCCCCCCGGTTGGGCACCACTGTTCTAGAAATTTCAATCCAGAATTATAGTGAATCGTTTTAATTCGTTGACACGAGAACAATCAAACCATTTATTATATATATCGGAGATTTGTTACTGTACATATACATATAACATATTCAATCAGTATTTATATATAAGCTTTATAATAATAATAATAAAAAAAACTATTTGCTTTACTTTTTAAATATAAATTATAATAATATAATATCTAACTATAAGAATGTGAAATGAAAATCTCTGTACAGGCTAAACTGTGGAACTATTTATCAAATCTTCTTATCAGAGTTTAGTCTGTATAGTTATATTCTGTGTATTTATATAGTTAGATATATATAATATATATATATATAAATTAATGTTTGTGGGAAGATTAGACCTCTGGGAAGAAGATAGGTTAATTTACAAAGGGTTAAATTTGTTACGGGGTCCACATCTAACAAAGGTAGATTGCCTACTTGATAATATGTAATGCTGAGAATCAGAATATTTATTCGGGGCAACGGAAAAGTTAAGATACATTTTGAACACCATACACCGAATATTAAATAACGAATTGAACAAAGTTTGAGTCATATAGAGTTGATACATTTAACAGGCAACGAAGTGCACGGGATCAACTAGTAATATATAAACATATTTTTCCTAATTAGTAGGTATAATATTATACATAATATAGCGCCATGTCATTAATAAATAATATAGTTGATAAATTATATTAATGAGTACTTATCATATTATATATAATATATATATATTATTAATACATATTATATTATTTAAAAATCATTGCTAACATAATTTGAAAGTGACTAAAATGACTTTTGTCGAAAAGGGAAAGGTTGATTTTGGGTGAAACGGGCCTATAGTCTTTACTCATTAATCATTAGTAGTCATTATACTTATTAAAATAATAAACGTTATTAGCTCATCAGAATTCGCCAATAATAAAATATATGTATAGCTAGGTATAATCCGAAATAAAGTGTAAAATGCTAAATGTACATTGATTACGTTTTTATACACATTATAGGATAAATTATTTTTATTTTTAATTATAGAACTGAAATTCGTCAACATGCAGAGGGCATATTATACGGTATTTGCGTTGATTATTAGCATTTCGTTTGCACTTTCAGGTACATTTATCTGGTTTAAAAACAATTGGACTCATAAATTGTTTAGGCATGTACATTGTATAGTACCTAATATTTACAAATGTTTTCAGACAATTTATCAGCGAATAGTTGGTCGTCCGATGATGACACGTTACCGGAAGTGCTACCAAAAAAGATGCGTGACAAAAGCGACGACGAGATTCAAAAAGCTGTTTTTCAAGCATATGAAAACCAGCTCAAAGTGATTTCTGAATACACAGGGCACATGTTGGATCCAGAATCTCCGTACGGATTCTTTAAAGACGAAATGCCGATTACGAATGCGAGGACTTCTAATCCACAGTCTGATCTCATATTTTACAATAATGCCATTAGAGGGTTTATTGCACAGAATAAAAACACTATTATCGTTAAATGGGTCCCAAATCAGGTAATTCATATTATTGGCTTTTGAATTTATCATTCAGCAAAATTTAAACTAAATACCTACGTAGAAACTAGAAGTATACAATTTGTAAATAGTCTGCAATTCTTAAAATGTTTAAGTGGATCCTATTATTCTAACGAAGATAAGAATAATGAAATCTCTCCAAACTTTGATCTTAAAACAATTGTCTAATATCTAGATTCTAGATAGTATTATCAGTTCATCATCTTTTTTTGAATTACACATTTGAGCGGAGATAAAAAATGTTGATGTGCTGTCCTCAAGAGGACGTGTACCGCATGTGTTGTCTCCGTCTTACAGTCTTACACACGTAGGTATAACACAGCAAATTTTCGTTTGCTAGTTTCAATAGTGTGCTGTCAGTTTTGATATATGTATTTATTTAGAGTGAATTGCCCTATTATCAAACTTTTAGGTAAGAACGTTGTCCTTGTTCTATCGTTGGTCTTTTACGATAGTTTTTTAAAAATGTTCTCTAAAGCTGGATTTACAGCTACGTCATGTGCCATGGGAGGGCATCTGGGCGTGGTAACTATGGTTACAACTGGTAACCAATATAGCTTAAAGGTTAAGCTATAATCAATTCTTGGTTTACTCGGTTACAACTTGGTTATTACATGATAACAAAAAAGTAATGCTCAGTCACAATACGATTTGATCGACATGACACTCAGCGGTGGTTTTGATAAAACATCAAGGGGGGGGGGTTCTATTTTAAATTTTTGGGCTTCTTCCCACTGTAATTAAAGCAATTCAAGCATTTAGTGTAATTTCAATTAAAAAAAGGACATGCAAAAAAAAATCCAAGGAGGGGGTGGGCGCCCCTTTCACCCCCCCCCCCCCCCCCTACAAACCGCCACTGATGACACGACATACGACGTAGCTGTGAATCTGGCTTAAATTACTAATAAAATAATAATCTCCACTATTCTATAGCTTATAATAACTTATAAAAAAGTATATTTTTACTACATTCCAACTAACTATAGCATGAAAGGTGTTAATATTTTAGGATCAAACTAAAAATATTATTATAATAACATGTGAAATTGTAATCTCACTTCCGAAATTGAAGTAGAAAAATTAGCAATTGCCTCGTTTGATTTCACTTCATTGTTATGCATTACATAATGTAATGCATAACAATGTAATTTACATTAACAACAATTATTTTACAATTGACTATACAGGACAGTATCTCCATAAAAAAAAAATCATCACTATTAATTTAACTAAATAGTAAATAATAAATACGAAAAACCTATTAATACCTACATTATTACCTACATTAATACCTATTTAGTATTTATACATGCTATTATAGTGCTTAGTGCTTACACGTTACAAACATAAATATTAAAAATTAACATTAGTTTTAATTTGTCAATATTACCTAGGTATACCTAATTAGGTATTCAAAAAGTTTGATTCTTTATTTTAATTCTAATTTACTTTACATAGGTAGGTATTTCATTATTAATAATATTGGTAAGCCATAATATTATGGTAATTAAAATATTTAAAAAAATAAAGTCTGAAATATGAGTGGGCCAAATAAAATATATATCATAAATTATGATTATTCCAATATATTATTGTTTTGTATAGGTCGTTACTGAACTAGGATGGAAAGACATGAGCGTCAGAGGAAGATATACTTTCATGAATTCTTCATATTTTGATCAAGGAAAGTACCATATACAATTACAAGATGTTAAATATCTTGCTAGCACTACGCTTTCAGAAAATACCGAATCGTACCCATCGACCGTACCTAAATCTAGCATTTCATACAAAAGTGTTAAGGTTTCATTCACAGGTGGTTTACCAGAAGTATTAAAGACTAGTGATTCTCTTAATGTCAAGTGAGTTAATAAAAAATAAAAAATACACTATTTTCTATAAAATAAATTTAATAATTTATTTTAATTCTATATTAAAAAAACATATTTATTTTGCCATGTTATTGAACTAGTTGATCGTTTAAAAATTAAAATATTTTTAAAATAAATACATTGAAAAAAAAAAGGAAAACCTATTATACTATAGTTATGGTTTTATGAACTCTAATTCTAATTTGGATTTTTAAGAAATTTTCAATTTTTAATATCAGTAATCGGTCTAATAAATAATAATAGAATCGATGTCAGCTATAAATTTGGTTCATACTAGGTAGTAGATTAGGGTAGTGGTACGTACAAAAATATACACGACATTTAAATTCAATTCTATGAAAATAATACTTGAAGGCTATAATATAATACAAATTGTTTTTATATATTTTTATATTTACTATAATAATTATATATTTTTTTTTTTGGATTGATCATGAAGTCCGGCTACTATGACTATTAGCTGTTTGTTTTTTGTTTGTAGGGGAGGAATTTGTAGGTTGTTAAACAAGTGTGTTTTTGGTTTGGCAGATTTTTTAGTGGGCATTCGTAGGTATCTGCCATGCCCGGGTTGGGGATGGTGGCACTTCTCTCCGGACACCATGACTTGCCCGAAGAAAAATGCCACCCGAGGCCGGTTCGAACCGGCGCCGGTGTGCGTCGCAACCGATGCCTTAATCAGCTCGGCCACTCCGTCCCCCAATAATTAGATTTATAGAGTACTATTTTTTACGTTTATACTTATTTATACGTTTTTTTTGTCTTTCGCCACATTCCAGCGAATTTATTTCAACCTTCAATATTGAGGGATATAACTAGTTGGTAGTTTCATGAGTCAAGAGTAGCAGAGTAAAAAATGTTATGCCTTTTTTTTAACCGTAGGAAAAATCCAACAAACAAATATAAACAAATATTTTTGTATATTGTTATGTACGAATCTTAAAATTTAGAATCTTAAAATAAACTGTAACCTGTTATAGTTATAAATCATATCATGTGTAAGTATACACTACCTATACTGCATTAAATTTCAAGAATTAAAAGAAACTAAATTAAAAAGTCTAAAAATGGTTTAATAAAGCTTCAAAATCCTAACTAGTTATAACTTATGTCTTATAGGTAATATTGCATGTATTAATATTCATAAATAATAATATATTCAAAGAAAATATGATCTGGTAATTATATGATTTCATCTTTTCGTGTATTACAAAATGATCAAAATATGTATTGGTAAATATGATTTCAGATGTGACAAAATACAAATTACAGAAATCTGTATTCTGTAGTGTTTTTAAATACCTATATGAAATATACCTACAGTCAATAATATGTAATTTAAAGAATAGCTACGGTTAATCTTAATGATTTAGGTACTTATGTAATATCAAAACGACAAATCATAAGTGTGTTGTGACTACTGACTTGTACCTACCTATGTATTTAATATAGTACCTAGGTATAAATATTAAATTTCACTAATATTTCGTTGCTAAAAAATAAAATAATATTTTCTCTATTAAACCTAGTAATTACTTACAATAGTTACAATTATAACATAAATGAATCTTTTGTCCATGTGGTATAGCGGTAATACGTTATACACCCTGGTTATACACCTACATACGTATTTGTCTATCATCTAAAATCTATAATAAACCTTTTATGCAGTTTGGTACCTTCTACCTATATGTTATAACTTATAATAAACGCTATATAAATATAATATAGTGTTTTTCAACTTTTTATATTAATGCAGTGGGCATGATACGGTTGTGTCTTCGTTGTAATTAATATAATCAAATGAGTACCTATCAAATCATTTATTTAAAAAAATTATTGATAATTTATAATATATACATTTTTAAATTTATAATTTTAGGCACTTCATTGAAGATATCGTTTTTCAACAAGTAGCCGATCGCGTGGTTAGAGACACTCACAACAACATCACCTTGGCCATACGTCAGGTCATCAAACCGTACATCATAATCAAAAACGACACCAATCAAAACTTTCCCGGTACAAACGGAAAACTTCCCAGCGGTAACGTAGGGTATAGCATCAGCAACACGGTCATTAGCGGTTTCGCAAATGCGGAACATAAATTGAAAAAGGTCACCTCAAAAATGGCCACCAATACGGTTACAGCTGATGTACGTACAACGATTCATAACCTAGACGGTAAATTCGACTTTAAGATCGAGGAGAGTAAGCCTACCGTCGGCAAAGCAACCTTCACCGTCAGCAGAATCGATGTCAACATATCGTTCAACATGCTTAAGCCCGTCGAATGCAAGGCTGAGGTGGTTGTGAATCAGCCGAATGTTAAATACGGTACTAAGTTGTCAGCCGACATTGAAAAAACTTTGACAAACGCATTTTTCGACAATGTTAAAATCCAAATGAACACGAATATCTGCAAGGCTTTGGGCCAGATCATTAAGCCGGGAAAATAAAAAATAAAACTATTTAATTTATTCTAGAACCGTCTATTAGAGCTTATTTTTGTTGTAAACTATTATTTGAGATGCACGGTTAGCACAAATAATTATTAAACCGGTATTAATGTTTTTAAATTATTGTTTTTGCTTCGATAACATATGAATTTAAATAACATAATAATATATGTATTACAATTATTGAAAATGTACCTACAATATTACAAAATAAATATAATTTCAAAATATACTTAAAATATATTATGTTGATCAACATTTATATGCTCTTTCAAACATATTATATTGTTGTATACTGCAGTGAGGTTCCCCGTAAGAACGTCACACAAAGGATTATTTCGTACCTACTGTATTTTATTTTATTATTACAACTCAAATTTGGTATTGATCGAGATGTCCCTTCAACACGTCATCTTTTAGTCACCCCGTAAGTACATTTCGCCAGCCCCCCTAAAAACAATTTTCGAAATTTTTCTCAGTGCGCCATTAGTGTGAATTTGTGTGACTATTTTCAGAATTTGTGAGACACCCGTTATATTCGGAAAAATTGTTTATTATTCAATACACTATGTATTTATTGTTATATGGATGGCGATTGGCGGGGCTATCCAGTATTCCAGTACCAAAAATTGTATTATACTGTATTTCCCCGTATACAGCTGTTGTTACAGATATAACTGTTATATTATATATCTCAATATGTAACTGTAGTTGAAGATGAATTATTAATCTATAGACATATATCATATATCGAACGGGTTGAGGTCGGCGTATGAATCGGCAGATATATTGTACCTATTGTTGTAATAAAGGTGGCGTGTGATAATTATTATGTATGCCTACTATTCATATACATATTATAATTATTAGTCGATAAATTGATAAATAATGTAAATAAATAAATACAGATATATAGCTGCTGTAGTGGTGTTGTAAATAGATCGCAAGTTGTGTAAAATAAATCATTTCGAAAATAAGCGAGAAAAACGACTGTATGATGACAAAAAAATCATCAGGGATAAAAAATGTTAACCCCTCTCGAATATGTTATTGGAGCAACTCTGAAGTCTATACCACGGTCCTTACAATACACATCAACTTTAGGTTACATCTTATATTCATATTATAACATCCCTGCAAACAATTTTCTTTCATAAAATTGTTTTCGTAGAATAGTCTATTAGTCTGGTTGTTGCATAGTGCACCTTTGCATAATAATACCAATACTGTTGGCTAAAACAATTATTGTTATTATTATTATTATAATATATGAAGCTGGTGAATATACTGTTTATTGTTGACAACGATTGTGCCTATACACTGTTTAGGTGTATAATTAGTTTATTTATATTGTAGTATTTCGAAAGTAAATTATTTTAATGATTGTGTCCAATAAGTCTTTAACTTTTTTTAAGTTTGGTATTTATATAGAGTTTAAAGTAAAGTAAAATAAAGTAATCTTTTCAATTAATTTAATTATTTTTCCTTGACTTAAAATAGCTGCTAGTCAACAGTACTTAGCGTGTTCAGTTTCCCGAGTGAAGTGATATTCCGTCAACCAATTACGATGTGGATATAAGTAGGTCGTAGTTATGTTAAAATTATAGTTGTAGTTAGATTCTGTTTTACTTGCGTTAATATTGCTTAACGTTATTAAAATTAGTTATATAACTATAGGTGCACTTAGGATAGATTCGATAAAACAGATTTATTCATAAACAGTTTTTAGTTAAATATCTTACCAGCGGAAGGCCCATGGGCCATGGGCTTGTTATATTATGTTAAAAATTTATACGAGACTAAATTCTTTTCAAAATTCAAATCCTAAGACCACCTATGATTATCATAGTAAACATTAGAACTCATATTCTTCTTTTTGTCAAGTCAGGTTTTACAATGCCGATAATAATAGCAGGGCTTGCATTTGAAAAAATTCCGTTTAACGTTATTTAGAATTAAAACGTTATGCAAGTTTTGCGTTAATTGTTATTTAGAATAGTGTTAATACCTATAAAATGGGGCTAGGTAAATTGGGTCCGAGATAAGTTTGGAACATTTTGAAAGCGGTAAATTGAGTCCCGGAAAAAACAGGTAGTAGGTAAATTGGGTCCCGCGAAAAAAAAGTAAGCTACTAATTAAATACATGCCATTATATTTGTGTCTAGTATATAATCGCAAAATGATTCTATTTGCTTGTCATTTGGTTGTATTGTTATTAAATCTTCTACAAAACATTCGCTAACTTCTTCGGGTCTTAGAAATGACAAACCAAAAAAATTGTTTTTTTCTGAGTTTAAAGTTTTGTATAATTTGACTAAATCAAGAGCTTGAATCTTTTTCCACCAATTTTTTCCTAAATGGATATCGTTGGAAAAAAAATAATTATATAATTAATAATATTTTATAAATAATGTTAATTTTTTATTTTTTTTAATTAGTAGCCGGGACTTACTTTTTTTTGGCGGGACACAATTTAGCTACTACCTTTTTTTCCCAGGAACCCATCTCACCCACTACCTCTTTTTACCTGGGACTCAACTTACCTACTACCTTTTTTCCCCGGTACTCAATTTATCGATTAAGGGTCATTTGGGACCCAATTTACCAATCCGGTATTAAATGTATTAATAATAAAAAATGCGGATAGATAATGGATGGTCATGAAGTGAGCCACCCCCCCCCCTACTTTAGCCGATTCACTTTACCAGTGCCAATATTTAGCAAACCAAGTGTACAGTCGCAAATTTGGTTTGGCTTGGATCGGATAAATTGTGGGGACTGAACAAATTTGCGAAAATTCGCAAAAATTTCAATTTTGATTTGCAAATTCTAAAAACCAATTTTCAATTGATTTGCTAAATATAGAACTTGGTATGGAACGGATCAGACAAAGTTGGGGGATATATGAAGTTAAACCTTTCCAAAGATTTTTTTTGCTTTGTGATATTATACTTCATTTCCAAATTCTAAAAATGAATGTGCAATTATTTATTATTGATTTGTTATATATTGGCACTGGTTTGAAGTTAATAAGCCAAAGAGGGGGGGGGGGGGTTAACTTCATAGCCATTCATAAACTACCCACATTAGTTATTAATTATTATTAATACATTTAATAAGTATTAACACTATTCTCAATAGCGATAAACCTAAACATTTTACAACCAAAAACACCAAAAAATAGTTACCGAATAGTTAACGAATAATTACGGAATTCTCACCAGTTACGGAATGGTTACCAAAAAGTTACCGAATAGTTACTGAATTCTCACCAAATAGTTACGAAATTCTCAATAAGCAGTTGCTGGGGAAAATTACCAAATAAATTGTCGTCGCCATACAGAAATACGGAAAAAGGGGCGTTAAACGGCTGAACGTTTGGTCACATTGACCCAAAAGCCAACACGTTTGGACACACAAAAATTAATATAGATAAGTTAATAAATAAAAAAGATTTTAATAGAATTTTTGTAATGAATGACCAAATATTTTTATATAATTGACAAAATAAAATAGTTAAAATATTAATAATAAAAAATAAAGTAATAAACATTTTTAGGAGACTATTAAGAGCCAATCTCCTAGTGGTGTCTCCTGGGTAACGCTAATAGTCTCTAAAAAATAAAATTTAAATGTAAAAAGTAAAAAATGTCCACCTAAACCTTGGTATCCAAACGTAGTAATATTTTAAAAATATTATGTTACCCAAACGTTGTATTTATTTTTGGGGTCTGAAAAAAAATTTACCTAAACGTGTGTTCCCAATAGTTCTCCTGAATCTCAGATCCAAGTGTTGCCGAATTTGTAACTAAGTTCTGTAATGCAGCGGCAGTAGAAAGTCAAGCTGAAGGAGGACGAGAAAGGCTTAAGAATACATTTCAAACCAAAATACATAATATTATAGCGTTTCATACTATATTATATAATATAATAATATAATTATTTCAACATGTATAATATTTAAAATTATTTATTTTATTCCTTATTTTTATAATATCGTGACCATCACATCAATAACGTAACTGACATAATTTTGAAATTCGACTTTTTTATATCACTTTATAGAAAACGTGTTGTGAGTATAAAATTTTTATATTCTTTGATATAGTCAAACAAAATCAATATCATAGATATTCAAAAAATTTAAGCTTAATATAAAAAGCAAATTTCCTCGGAGATGAGATCCCTGAATCCCTTTCATCAAAATAACCTTAGTTGCAAAAATATGACGAAATCCTTGAGGTTGTTTTTGAAAAAAATCCACAGACACATGCACACGCAATTCTATTGCTCAGTTAATATATTATAGTGTATTAGTGTGGAATATATGATATAGACTGGGACCCCCCCAACTATAGGTTCCCAAATGGCAGTACCTTTGTGGCTGTGTCTATAATAATACCTAAAATGTAAGCTAAATTTTTTTTTAAGTATTGTTATCTTTTATTATAAAATGCTACCTCTATCTATTGATATTGATAAATACAATAAATTCATTGAATTGTACGCATCATTATATTAATCAATGATGAATCAAGCTTCTTAACGCCCAGTAAATTTTTTAATATGTCTGTTACAGAGCTTGCAAACGTTATAATAACGTTATGATTATAACGTTATATTTGACAAATAACGATTGAAATTTGTAAACATAATTAAAATGGAAAGCGATAATAAAAAATAATTAAATACCTCAAAACAAAGCATAACGAATAACAAAATATATAATCGGTGAAGCCCGAAAGCGCAAATCGATCTTTTTTTCCGATAACTCAAAAGTGTTAACTCATTGTGTAACGTTTTAATTGTAAATAACCTAAAACTGAATTTTTTTGAAATGCAAGCCCTGGACTGTTATAAGACAATAGGAAATAATCGTATCTTCGACAAAATAAAGATATTTAAGACTAAAAAAAATGCACAGCCAAATAATTAATGTTTCTAGTCACCGACTAAAAATTAATCATATGACCCGGCCACCGACTATTGCAGGGCTCCGG